AAAATAATATATTATTTGCCCTGTTATTTTTTGGTCTATCAACAATATTTCGTGTACTCGCACATTTTCTCCTTGTCCTGCATTTGTAAGTATTATCAAACGCGAAACTTGGGATATCTCTGCAAGAGCAACTTGCTCAACAGCATTGCACGTATTCGGCAAGGACGCGTACCCCATACTCAAACGTTTCTTTTTCCCGATTTTTATGCCTTTCCTCAAACGCGGAGTCAGACTCAACTTACACTTAGCTTCTCTTCTTCGATATTTGTCATGTCCTGATTCTGTCTGATACTTTTTTTTGTTCAGTTTAATTAATTACTCGTTATTTTAGCTCGGTAAATATCATGTATGTAGTTAGAATTCGCTTTCTTCTCTAACTTGTCTTGACCATTCTAGATATGATATATTACCTAGAAAAAACGGAAACTTGGTCTTATCCTCAATTTTTAGATCTCAATCGCAATGTTATAATCAAGTCTCCACCTTTCTCAACCGATTGGAGTGTTCTTGATCCAACTTGGGCTCGTAGACTTCTGACTAAAACAAAATTATTGAAATTTGAAGCTCTGAATATGAAGGTGATGTACTTGACATATTCTGAAATAGGGCGCTCCTGTCTATTCCCATCTGGATTGGGAGTATCGGTTCCTGTCCTGGCCCGAGTATTGGTGGTGGCAACCCTGTCTATTCACATCTGGATTAGGGCTATCGATTCCTGTCCCGGCCCCACCAATGCGATTTACATCTTTTTTGATTGGAATTTTTTTTGATTGGAATTAAACTTTCAATTTAGATAAGAAAATGAGACACTTACTTTTGATCTGTTTTCTTCGCAGATAGGATCAACGTGCGAACAGAAGTTTGCAGCTTTATTGGGAGCAAATTATTTGTCAAAGGGAAAAGGTAGGGTTGATATTTATTTATTATTTTCTTTATAGGTGACCTATGCTCATACTTATCTTAATGATTGCTTTTATGCAACAGGACACTGCCAACAAGCGAGCACACCTTATTGGTACTATGAGCGTATAAAACAATGTTGCGAGACACGGTGCTGATATATTGGCTTCGGAGGACTACTCTGATACTGCTTTACAAGATTTAGACACCAGAATTCGAAAGGTAAGATAAAGCAGCTTTGAAAA